TTTAGAATTAACTGAAATTAAAAATTAAAAATTAAATAATATTGAAAGATGAGTTTAGATTCCACATAGAAATACAACTATAAATAATAAAAATTTAGAAATAAAAATAAATAATATTGGAAGAAGAGCCTATAGTCTATATAGAAATATAATTAGTAGATAACGAAAATGCTAAATTAAAAAAAAATAAATATTGAAACACAAGTCTAGAGTCCATATAGGAATATAATTTACAAATAACTAAAATTTGATATTAAAAATAATTAATAACTAACACGTATATAAAATACAATATAAATATTACACATTAGTAGTTTCGTAAAGTTAGTACAAAATTTAAAATTATGTTGTCATTTTAATATATTTGAATAATGCATTGATAAAACATATATGATATTATGAGAGATATTAGCCGCGCAATCTACGCGGGCCAGCGGATAGTAATTCCCACATTAATCGGATAAAAAGAAAAGGAGATTCCAACTAGAAAGACAATTTAAAAATAATTGAAATTCGGGATTAAAAATTAGCATTATTGAAAGAAGAGTCCATATAATAACCCAATACGAGATTAATTAATATTTGAAATAAAAAATAAAATAAAATACGAAATTAGCAAAAAAAAAAAGGAAGATAAGAGTTCGAGTAGAAATACAATTTAAAAATAACTAAAATTCGAAATTAAAATTAAGCAATATTGAAAGAAGAGTGATATAAAAACCCAATATGAGATTATTAAAATTCGGAGTAAAAAATTAAAAAAAATCTAAATTAGAAAAAAATAAAAGGAGAGTTTAAGTAGAAATACAATTTAAAATTAACTGAAATTCGGAATTAAATATAAGCAATAATGAAATAAGAGTATATATAAGAATCCAATACGAGATTAATTAAAATTCGGAATAAAATAAAATAAAATCCAAATTAGAAAAATTAAAAGGAGGTTCAAATAGGAATACAATTTTGAAACAACTTAAATTGAAAATAAAAAATAAAAATATTAAAAGAACACAATACGATATTAGTTAAAATTCGAAACAAAAAAAATAAAATAAATTCTGAAATTAAAAAATAAAAATAAGATTTTAACTAGGAATACAATTTATAAATAACTGAAAGTGGGGATAAAAAATAAATACTATTAATACCATCTAAAACACATGACGAGATTAATTAAGTAACATGCCTATAAAGGAGTAGAGTGGTGGCGGTTGATGGGACATCTAAAAACTATTAATAAAACACCAAATAGAATACTAATAAGGATTAAAAGAAATGACGACAGGCATGTCATGAAGCAATCGGTCAAGGCGATTGGCGGGACTTCAAAAACGTAAAAAAATAAACCCTAATGGTAATCATATTTAATTTTTAAAATCTCAATGATAATAAAAATGAGAGGCACGGGCGGATCGTACAGGAGTACAATGGCAGAGCCGTCGATGGTTGGTGGGACTTTTAGAAAGTAAATTTTGAATTTCAACGATAGTTATGTTCGATTTTTAGAATCCCAATGACAATAAAGAATAGGCGGCGGACGGGTCGTAGAGAAGTATAGTGGCAATGTTTAACGGTATTTTAAAATTTATAAAAAATAAAACCCAACGAGACAATAAACTCTAAAGACTATAAGGTCAAATTTTTAAAGGTTCGGGCTTCTAAAAAATAAAAAAATAATCACCAATTATAATTATGTTTGATTTTAAAATCTCGATGGCAATAAAGAATGGAGGCAGCGAACGAGCCATAGAGGAGTACAGTGACAAAGTCGTTGACGTTTTAACGGAAATTCTAGAAAGTAAAAAATAAACCTAAACAATAATTATAGTAAAAAATAAACCTAAACAATAATTATGTTTGATTTTTAAAATACCAATGCCAATAAAGAGAATAGACAGTGGACGACCGAAGGGGAGTATAATGGCAGCGTTTGACGGGACTTCTATAAAAACGAAACCCAACAGGATAATAAACTCTAAAAACTATTAGATCCAATTTTTAAGGGTTCCAAAGAGAATGAATAGAAACAGCGATAGATCGAGCAAGCAAATAAAGAAGGATATGACAGAAGTAAGGGATAGCAACTGGTGTGACTTTTAAAAACTATAAAATTAGAAACAAGAGGATGATAAGGTTTGGTCTTTCAAAGTCTTAAAACAATGAGATAACTATTTAATAAATTTTAAGTAAAATCGTATTAAAAATATATAATTTGGTATCGGTGTTAGCCGCGCAGTTGCACGGGCCACCCAGCTAGTTTTAAATAAAAATATTCCAAATTTTGGTTTGCATTTTTGGCGTGGATTGAGGAGGACTAAGTGCCAAAAGGTACTCCAAAATCCCTTACCTTGAATCCTCCAAAACCCCTTATTCCTAAATTCCGTTCCAAATTCCGTGGTTCAAATTATGAAATGAGTGCCTTAATTTCAAATCCTACCCGAAATCCTTTTAATCACCCGCAAACCCTAAATCTTCTCCTCCCCAAATTCAAAAAGTTTCCAAATCTCTTCTTAATTTGAAACCTTTCCATATGTCAAATCCAAATTCAAATCTGAATTTGTGAATGCACCAAATTTCTCTTCCAAACTGTCCTACCATAATGGGAACTCCATGCATATCACATATTGATATATCTTACCATTTTTTAAAAAAATATATAATTTTTTAGACAACATATGCAAACAAGTGGACATCCTCTCAAAAGAAAAAAAATCCATCTGCAACTAATCAAACCATTTTTCAAGGTCAAACCTGTTTTATTAATTTGGGTTAATATGTGTTGCAGTTTTGGCATGCAAACAACCAATGTGTCCTCCACATTCTAAGTGGATGACAAAGAAGGAGATTTAACATGTTAGATCGAAGTGTGTCTAAATTATAGTAACGGTATAGATTAATCGATATAGTGATATATGTAAAAGACAATTTTAAATAATGTGTTATAGGGATTTGTTAGGTTTCCACCGTCCTCCAGTGCCCCAATTCGTTAGCCGTGGCCCTCCCCCGGCCCACCCCGATCCGGTGGCAGCCGTCCTCCCCCGCCCCAATCTGGTGGTTGCCCCCTCCCGTGTGGATCCATCGGCAGCGATATGGGAGGAGGACGACGACGGCAGCATCTGGAGGAGGAGGACAAGGACGATGGTGGCGGTGGCGGCGAGTGGATTCTAGGGTTAGGGTTTCGGTGTAGTTTTTAATTTTCGGATTTTTTTTCGCGATTTTTCCTTTTCATGTGCGGTCGACTTAAGCGCCCGTACGCAAGAAACGGATTTTCACATGCGACTGCGTTAACTGCATGCGAAAATTGGATTTTTCACATACCTTTTGACACATGCGGGCCACCCTTCCGTATGTAAAAATCAATTTTGGTCGCATGGAATAATCGTATATGTAGTAGTGAGTGAAGTTTATCCGGGTTTCAAAATATTTTTGGATCAACTACTGCCAATGCCATGCCAAATTTTAGCCTTTTGTAAATAAGTTATATAAGGTGAGCAAGGCTCCATTTGTAAATAAGTTTTTAAAGGTACACGCTAGCGCTGATACAATGTCCACTCATGGGTGTTGAGATCCAGGGTGGTAAAGTTTGAGCGTGTCATATCAGGTATTATATAGGGTGTCGCATGTGATGTTCGGATACTAATAAAAAATTAATTACAGAATCCATAAGTAAACCGCGAGACGAATTTATTAAGCCTAATTAATCTGTCATTAGCAAATGTTTACTATAACACCACTTTGGCAAATCATGGAGCAATTAGGCTTAAGATTCGTCTCGCAAATTCATCGTAATATGTGTAATTAGTTATTTTTTAGCCTATATTTAATACTTCAGATAGGTGTTAAACGTTCTATGTGAGAAGGTGAAAAATTTTGAGGTGGGATTTAAACATGGCCTCAGTCATCTCAGAGATTTCTTACTTGCCCATGATTCATCTGCCTCACACACATATATATTTCTTGCTGACGCGTCTCTCTCCGATTTCTATTACTCTTGTTAGATGCTTCGAGCAGTAGGGACAGGAATGGACCCTGATCACTGATCCCCTGGTGGTGCGTACATTACGGCGTCATTAAATTTTGGTAAGTGGCAATGGCATGAGCATGTTTAGTACGGTTTGTTTTATTTTATTAAAATTTTAGTTAAACTAAAATCATAATATCCAGTTTAGAAGATGTATCCATCGCCAAAAAGAACTTAAGATGGTTAATTTGTGTGCTAAACAAAACCGTAGATCGAGTGTACTTTATACGGTGGTAAAAAAATGTGTAAGAAGTACAATTTCAATAGTAAGACCAATCTTAAGAGAACTCAAAACTTGCAAAGTTCTTCACGTAAAAATATGAGCTTTTAATTGTACTTAAGGTATATTAAAAAAATTACTACCAGTATTGAAAAATATTTGATGGTGTTTTGCTATCTTATACACTAGTAATTGATCCGTGCTAACGCTACGGTAGCATTTAGAAATGCAAAATAAATAATTCAAAGAATATATATTTGTTTTCCAATCAAGCATTAAATGAGACAAGTTAAAATTTAAAAACTGAATGACACAGCGAGTTATTATATTGTTAATCTTTAGCCGCATGAGTAAAATAACATCACGACCTCTATCTTTCGTAAAAATCTATTTCGTAATGTACAACTTCACAATTAATGCATAGACATAAAAAAGAATCTAAACCGGATATCACCATCTAATGTTTGATCTATATCTCGTTTATTATAGTATACATTATCTAATGTCTATAATAGTATACATTATCTAATGTCGGAGTGATTGATGTGGTAAGGTAGTTTATCTCGTTTACATGTCCAGACCATCCATCACCATCTGCTAAATTCAAGTTTATAATCTATATCTCATATGACTTCTTTGATCTGGCATGAAAAGAAAATGAGAAAAGGTTTGGAAATCTAAATTTTGCACTGAAAAATAGAACTGAATTTGGCAATTGGGAGAACATATAGTAATTCATGATGAGTCTGCTTCATGAAATCAAGCTGAATACTAAAGCACTTTATTCAGTCACCCAGATCCAATCAGTTTACTTTTCAATCAACCGCCAAAAAGGTCACATACTACACAACTGCTTCATATGGCATGACTACATTATTCATGAACGTCATAATACAAGGAAAATATCTATCACGTTGCAAAGCGGATGGCCGGTGGGGACAAGGGAGGAAGCTGTCGATGGTCTTGATAGCCCACACCAAAAAGGCACCGATGGTGCTGCATAAATCAAAACATTACATGTTATCTCCACAATCTACAATAAGTAACAACATAGCTTTCTTAGATACATATATGCTAAACTTGAAAACAACATAAGCTGCATAACATTTTTAAACTTGTTTGTACATGAAAAACGTCAATGCTTGTTCTGTGCAATTTTTATAATATACCAGTGCATTTTCAAATGCAAGCCATCACCCAAAAGACTCCATTTCAGTGGCAAACTGTCAATGACTATACCTCCATCTATCACGTATTAATCTGGTACTTACATGACACACCTAAGAATTGAAGGTGTGAAGAGATCAGATCGTATACCTCAAAATCAAAATCTTAGTCCTCAATTTGCCACGAGCAGGTTATGTACTGAATTTGCCCACAGCCCCACACAATTCACCCTGGATGCCTGTTTGAATTAGCATGCTCAGTCCTAGTCCACTTGTGCTCCTTCATATTCAGTTTTATGTAAATTTGTACACACCAGGCAGACTCGTACTTTGAAGCAGCCAAATAAATTAATATTTCAGCTAATCCTAAGAAGTAATTCTGAAAATAAAAATAACTTCCTATATGTAGAATTTGGACAAACCCTCTATTCTCTATAAATATACAGATTAGCCACAGAGATGATAAGAATATGTTCTCCTGATCTATAAAAAAGATATCGTGATTAACTCATAATCATATAAGATGACTGTGGTGAGTGATGTCATACATAGAACATTAAAAGCACTAAAAAACAAGCTCACTCTAGGGTGTCGTTCCCCTACTTTAGAAAAAAAAAATCATTTTCCAAAAAAATTATGTTAGTTAAATTTATGGTTTTGAACAGTACAATTAATAGCAACTGGCTATTGGGCACTGGCTGAGCAAATAGCAAAACGGAAAGAAACAGCACTGACAAGTTCAAATTTTATCTCCAACTCTTACTTACAAAACATCAACGGCCTGCAACAAGCAGTCATATAAGCTGAATTAGTTCTTTTCTCCCTTTCTATTTTAAAGTTCTTTGTTCAAGGGATTTAGTCACATAACCTCGAAAAATGCTATTTTCACGCTCTATTTGTTTTTATTATATGACATGTTGGTTGGTTCAAATTGAACTAACAATAATTCCATTACTGTTAATTACAAAGAAGGGAGTATATAAGATATAACAGAAATGTCATTACAAATAATTAATTATCACATACTCAATAGTGAATCTGCATATGTGATAACAATTTGAGGCCACCAAAGAATGTAGAACCAGATGCAGACTACAAACTTGATTTCAAGTATTATTGACGGTTAGAAACCACCAATAGTGAAATAGAACCGGATACAGACTTTATTAATTGAAATTCAGATGATATGAAACAAAAATATTCCAGGTGATGGTATGAGCCATGCAGACTTATTTTTCCTAAGCAGCAACAAAGGATGCACAGGCACAACCACCAGAAACAATTTCTATTCTGAAAGCAAGACCCCATATCTTCCTTGAAATACCCAATAGAAGAGTTGGCTTCATTAAGTGCTAAAAATTATAAGGTGGCTTCAAAAGAAACACAAGCAACAGAGATAGATTGAATTTGTTCTCTTTGAAGCAACTGCAGGCATAAACAATAATACTCTACAGTTTCATTGGGTCTAAACTATTCTTTGCACGTCATATATACGCCCAAAACTTTTTAGCACCATACAAGGATCCTGTTCATAACTCATGCCTAAATCTGACAAATTTGTCAAACAACACAAAGTCAAATTATAATGCAGTTGTCTGGAAGGGATTACGTGATAGCAAGTTGTCTGGAAGCATATGGACTCCTATGCTGCGTGCAGAAAGCATCCAATCCAATGGTGCGATGCAGAATGCGGCTGCTCCCATAGTCATTAGTGTAACAGAATGATCAAAATTAGAATTAATAGCACAAGCAGCAACTGTGAACATTTTGCCTTTACCTGACTGCTCGCAAAAAGGCCATCTTGCACAAATGCAGGGAGCTTCCTCAATTGATCCAACATCAAGGCAAGCAATGGACTGAGCACCAGCATCTGTCCAGATAAAAACATTGCAGGCAACTGAAATAGAACATTAACTTTTCAGCACTAAATTATATAACCTCAACATCTCGATTTTTGCAGCACATCTGATAGCAGAAATTTTTGTTTATCAATATAATGAACATGCTTTGTTGTTCAAAGGGCATAAACAATTTTCAGCGCCAAATCCTATAAGTGTTTCTGTTGTCAGCACGCTGCCCGACAGGATAGGACGCCGCCGCCATGGGAGCCGACCGCCAGGATGCCGCCGACGTGGGGGCATCAGCTGATCAGCACACACCGCCGCCTGCCGCCTGGGGAGGGATGTCGCCGGAGATGGGGTCCTGCTGATATGGGCAGCAGCAGCAAGCCGTGGGAGAAGGGGAGAGAGACGAAGAAGACGAAGAAAGTCGTGGGAGAAGGGGAATATCGCTGCCTCCGCGTGAGACAGGAAGACGACGAGAATTTAGAGAATATAGCACTCAATTCGCACGCCTTATAGATTTTACTATCCAATCTGCATACCTTGATTAATATAGCATTAGGATTGCAAACCGGGAATCCTCCCCGTCGGTCGCTCGGTGGGGGGGGGGGGGGGATCGGGCGCTCCCACCCAAACGATGGACGCGTCCGCTGGCCCCACCCACGTGTCTCTGCCCCCACCCTGCTATGTGTACACCACATACTCCATTGCAACAAATCACCCACGTATTTTGGAAACTCTCTATTAAGGGAATTCGTTTTATCGTTTCATTTTTTGTTCCACAAAAAATATTTCACCTAGTGTACTCATAATGTTTCACTATGTATAGATCTAATGTTGCAGTGAATTGAAACATTCTTTTGCAATAAATCACCGACATATTTGTTAACAACCAAATTTGATAATTCAAGTATCGGAGATGAAGATAAAACCGAAGCGGAATCCAAGATGGAGATCGTTCTGGGAACAGAGCAAGAATCGGCTGCAATCAGAGTCGGCAGAGTTCGAGTCAGACAAGGTTAGCCGATTAAGCCGATTCCAACAATATGACTCGATACACATTGTCAGGTTGAGTTAATGTGCTTCATGTGGATTGCCATGCACGGATTAAGTCTTGAGAAGGTAATTGTATCTATCAATTAGGATATTTTATGTAATTTCCTTAGAGATAAGTTTGAGCAAAAGTCTGCCGCAAAGACTTATGGTATCTTAGAGTTTGTTAGAGATAAGAGTCGTGTCCGACATGGACATATTTTGTAATCTCGGGTATAAATAGACCCTGAGCCCCATGTAATTGATCTAACACACGTTCAATAACAATCTCGGCGCATCGCCATCCTTTTACTTTCGTTTTGTTTCGACGAGTTCCTGCTGCCGGGTTGAGCTGCATCGGTTTCGATCTTCAACTAGAGGTAAAACTTGTTATGGCGGCTTGCGTTCTCGGGATTAGTGCTTCCATCTTTATGATACTCTAATCTTGTTTATATAATTCGTCAAGTTACCATATATCCTATATAATCTCTGGCAATATTGTTATTTAACCTTCAATCGGTTAACATCTATTGTGAGAAGGCAGCCGATTAAGTTAAATACCAACGTTGACTTCGATTATATAGGGTATCTACCACTCTATGAAGCATCCAACGGCTTGATTGTCTAGATATTGTTGTTCTTTTCATACTTATAGCTGCATCAGTTGAGTTTGACCTTATAAGTCGTGATTAGAACCATGATCTCTAGCCTGCTTTTGGTTGCCGATTAGGGTAGTGTCGGGGTTTCAGCCGATCTTACCTTATTTAGCTTTATATTTTTTCATGTGCTTAATTGATATGATAGATCTGCCTTTTATGTTAAGATCTTACTACAACAAAGTATGTTAATCTTCTGTTTGATATATTTTACTTGCTTTAATATCTTAATATAGTGGTATCGGAGTATTAGCCGATTCATGCTAGATCTATCTGATCAGCTATGTTATGAATGCTTATAGTCCTTTCCTTAGTATATATTTCGATCTAAGTGATTTATACTGTCTCGGCGTGATGACCGATCTATCCCAATCGCTTGATTTAAGTATATATCGACGTAGGGATTATATTCCGTTGATACCTACAGCCGATCGAATAGATTTAGTTCTTTCTTGCCTATTTATGATTGCCGATCGAATCAAATACGATATCGGCTCAAAGATAAATCATACGTCATCGGCGACTGGTCGATCGGCTATCATTTATGAATTTAACCGTAGTTTCTTTGTCTTTATTTCTTGTTGACTGCAGGATCAAATCAACTGGCACGCTCACAAACCTAAACGCAAGATTTTTGGACCTGCACTGAAGTTAAGCAGATCTTCCAGGCCTCGTGTTTTCACATCAACAATATTTTGGAAACCTTCTATTAAGGGAATTCGTTTCATTTTTTGTTCCACGAAAAATGTTTCACCTAGTGTACTTATAGTATCAAATGTTGCAGTGAACTGAAACATTCTTTCGCTACTTGCTGAAACATTGTTTTTATATAAGGTGAAACAATGTCCGATTCAAACGATTGAAATATTTTCGATCTAAATAGTGAAACAATTCCGATATAATTAGTGGAACATCGTGCAACATTTAAAAATAATTCAATAATAAGCTAAAAAAAATTCCGTCGGAATATATCCATGTGTGGTCTTGCTTTAAAGATTTAATTACAACGAATTTAATGGTGCAATCGGATCATGATTTGGATAAATAATTTAAGAGAAAAAATAGTTTAAAGTGTTTTTGCATGTATGCATCATGCTGACATCAGCGTCCGATTTTTTTTCCCTCCGTAGTCGTCTCCACTGTTAACTGTTATATTTAGTACCACTTTCACTGCTTTCATTACTTATTTTTGTTTCTTACCTGTTCATGGACATTTCTGCCCCTGGCCCCACCTGTCAGATCCAAAGAGAGAAGAGAGAAATATCTCTCTTTGGATCAGCATTCGTTCGCTTCCCACCGTCGCCGAGCACCGCGACGCCGGGCGCCACCACCCCGCCGCCAACCGCCACCACCCCACAGCCGACAACAATTTGCAAAAATGTCTGAAACTTTATAGCAGCCCCCATCTCATACAGGGCTTGCATTTTCTACATGACATCAAGCTGAAATATGCAAAAGTTGATACATGCTATTGGGGACTGCTCATCCAGTGCCGGCAGTGCCGGCGCGCCCGTCTTTCTCCTCGGCGTGGTGGTGGGATGGTGCCGCTCAGGGGCAACGATGCCGGTGGATGCTGGTGGTGGGGGTGGTGCTCGGCGGTGGAGGCAGTGGGGGTGTCGACCTCGGGCGGCGGGGGTGGTGGGGCACCCTGGCGGCTGGGACGGCGTCGGCGCTTGGTGACGGCGCGCGGCAGCGGGGTGGTGGCGTCGCTGGTGGCTGGTGGCGCTCTGCGCTCACCCTGGAGGAGGGATCGATCGATTCGATCCAGAGAGAGATTTCTCTCTTTGAATCTGACAGGTGGGCCCAAGTAGGGGTGAAAACGGTCAAGGAAATTCCCGATCGACCGGGCGCCATTTTCGTTTAAGGGGTACCGTTTCCGACCGTACCTTTTTGGCTATTTTTAAATTTTGTTTTTTCTAATTTCTTTCTCCATCGTATTAATGTCGATACCGAGTAGTTTAAATGATAAATATGGTCAATTACCGGCCGATCGAGCATCGTTTCCAAAGAGATGCTACCGATTCTGACCGTTTCCGATAGTTTTCACCCCTAGGCCCAAGGGCAAAAATGTCCATAAAGATATACATATGGAATTAAGAAATAAGTAATACATGAAAAACAGAGAAAGTGGTACCAAATAAACTAATTAGCAGTCCTAATGATATATTATAGAGGGCATGCGAATTAAGTGGTAAAAAAAGTTGAGGTACGCAAATTAACGGGCAGTCTCCCGTGGATGTGGGCGGCGCGACGAGCGGAGGGTGGCGTAGTGGATGGCGGTGCGGTGAACCGTAGGGTGGCGGTGAGGACGATGATGCGGTGGAGAGGTGGGTGGCGGCGGTGATGTCGACGGAGGGTGAGGGAGTCGTAGAGGAGATCAGCGCGGTGGAGAGGCGACGACGCACGCAGAGGAGACCAGCGCGGTGGAGAGGCGAGGGGCGGCGGCGCGGTGTGGGGAGATTAGGGTTGCGATTTCGTGACAACGACAATTTGTGAGCGACGACGGCGAATCGTGAGCGGTGGCACAGAGGAGATCGATGAGGCGGCGCTGATCTGGATGCTAGTGCAAGCACGGCGGTCCGCGGTTCTTTCCCATCGATCCAGCGGTGGCGCAGGTGGAGCTGCTCCGGGGTTTGGGATTGGGGGTCGGCGCGACGCGGGGAGAGCGAGGGTGCGGCGATGATGGCGGATGCGATTTCCGTGGGATGGGAGCGGTGTGCGGTAGGAGGTGGGATGGTGCGGTGCACGGTGGGAGGTGAGGGAGGTATGGTTCATTGGATCTAAAGCGGTGGATGATTTTCGTCCGTTAGATCTGATGAATGAGTAATATAGATGTAACAGTGAGTTGGTGAATTATAGGATAGACTAAGCAAGCAAGATTACTTACTTAACTAAGAAACTAGCTTATTGATTTGCATGTGATGCGCATGGGCCACGCAAAAGCATGCACGTACTGACTCACATGTACTCCTATCTAGCTAACTATACATATCCTCTTATTTTTAGAGTAAATTTCACAAAACTACATATACTATGACTAAACTATCATAAAACTACAAATTTTACTCGGTGTATCACAAAACTACACATTTAACACCAAATTTATCACAAAACTACACATTTAAGATGAAGTTTCACAAAACTATATGTTTAGTAACTAAAATATCACAAAACTATAGGTTTAGAACCAATTTAGTTACAAAACAATAATGTTTATGCTTAACATAATAATGGTGCTAGGGATTTAAACTCTAAAAGCTGTAGTTTTGTGATAATTTCAATATTAAATATGTATTTTTTGATACTTAACCTTAAATATGTTGTTTTGTGACAAATATGGTGCTAAATCTGTTGTTTTGTGATACGTCTTAAAACTGTAGTTTTGCGATAGTTTGATCAAAATAACTCTAGTTTTGTGAAATTTACTATTTTTTATATCACTTAAAAGTCATCAAAAATATTTTATAAAATATAGTACTCCCTCCGTCCAAAAATATAACAACTTTTAGCCCTCAGGATTTGTCCCAAAATATAACAACTTTTATTCCCAATCAATCACAACCCTCCACCATTCGCTTTTTCCACATATCTCCACTACTTATCCAGTCACAATCCTCCACCACTTTCTTCTACCTACTTTCTTAATAACCGTGTACAACCCTAAAACTTTTTATATTATAGGACGGAGGGAGTAAGATAGATTAATATGTGATATGTTACTTCACAAACATACATGTTCAAATTCAACTTATACAAGTAGAAAAAATTGACAAATTTAACTATAAATAGAATGTGTAGTTCACAAATGTGATATTTTTGTTTCTACTTATATAGATTGAATTTTAACTTGTATATTTGTGAAAAAGATATATATCATATATTGATCTATAGCTTTACAATTTTTACAAGATATACTGATTTATTTTTTGACAATTTTTTAGTGTGATATATGTGAGCTTAATTAATACGGAGAAACGCCTAGAGATCTTCTGGCTAACTGCACAAGATGGTGGGATAGATGATCCGGGTTCTCTAGCCGCCACGACATTGTACTAATGTCGTTGTAACCTTTCACACTGTATTTTCTTCCCAATCTTAATGAAATTGGTCAGCCAACTTTTGGCCGACCCGGCAAAATAGACTACCAGTCTACCAGTACATATAAGTCTTGCAGGCAGATTTTCAGTTAAGCACGAGTTAAACTCAGCTGAACAAAAAATATGATCTATATAACAAGATAGAACTGCTTGAGATGTAACAACTTCCCCCATATAAATCTTCATACTACATCATATCACCTTAACACGCGGAAGTCACCGATACGCTCAAACAATTTTCTGCGCTGTCGATGCTTAAAGGCAGCTGTCCAAACAACATTCACCTGCAGTTCATAGGGACCTTGCTCACGGACACATTCTTCATCATTGTGTCCAAGAACGAGCTCAAAGATTGAGCCAGCTCCTTCAGAAACACAGACATTGAGCACCAGTTCATCATCCAAATTGACGGCTACGAAACAGCGAGTCAGATCGACTGATCCATCAGCTCCAACAACTCTGTTGCTGCCTTCCACTTCACTGTCATACAGGATGATTTTGTTCTGATCATCTCCAGTAGTCCAAGCAGTCACTTTGCCAGTGAAAAACGTGGATACAACCCCCTTAATTTTGACTGCAACAGAAGCTTCCACAGCTAATTGAACAGGACTATACACAAAATCAATTGTACTCAGGCAGCTCTCTAGCGATAAAGTCATCGGCTGCTTTGTATAGCAGATGGCATTGTGTTCTCGCACACCTTTGCAGAAATCTTTGTCGACATCGCCATCGTCTCTAATCTTCAAATTGAACTCGAAATACATTTTGTCTGTTGCACCCAGCGCTCGATTAGGTCCTGTCAGAGTTAGTGTGTCCTCCTGTAAATAGATTAGGGGAAATCATGTCAAAAATGCCACCAAAAACACCAGGCTCGATAAGTCGAATACAGTTCAGACAGTGCCAACAATATGTTAAGAGAAATTTGGGTACATAATACATACAGATAATAATTTTAGGTATATGAAACAGCCTGTGAATTGCATTTCAAATTCCCACGTTCAAATGAGCAACATGCCAATATAAATTCTTTTGTTTCCACTTTTTCCAGTACAAAACGTACATGATCCCAGAGCACTACCGTTGCACTGGATTAACAAAATAGTATAACAGGTAAAAGTACCAGGATCTTGGGATATAGAAACTAATTAAGTAAATCAAATCTCACAAAAAAGGGGAAGTCATGGATTGATTGATGTTCCAACAGTAACTGTCCTGACCCTCTTAGACAGCAGGAATGGACTACCAGGCAATCAGATTCGGTGGATATATGATATTGACAGCAAGGTTTAAGATCTGGCAGTAGGGATTTTAATGTCCAGGAAACAGGATTTCTATCGTATCAGGCGTTTCACCAGCCATTATGGAACTATGCAACCGTCTACATTTCACTTAACAATGTGAGCCTAATTAACAGGTCATTTATAGTGTAGAATATCAGACAGCGGATTGTAAAGGCAATGGCATTTGGATTTGAACAGTAAATAGTATTAATCTAGCAAGGAGGAGGAACGAATCAGTAACATACCGGCGAGGTGATGATCTGGGGATTGTTCCTGTCACGCCTGAACAGATAGACACACCTGAAATCATACTCATCCCTGGCCAGCACAGTGCCAAATACCCTGATAGGGTAACCCACATCAGACTCGGCCACCTTGATTGCAATCACATTGACAGAGTCCATCTCCCACCAGTAGTCAGGGAAAGCTAGCGACTTGATAGGTGGTCCACGTGCAAGCTTTGCTGCAAAATCAAGCCAGAGACATAAATCAAACCAGGAAAGTAAATTTTTTTAAGACATGTACAATAGTCAAAGAATGAACAAGAAACAAGGATGATATTATAACAAATGGATGTTTGATAGATCTCTCTCCCCCTTGAGCCCAACGGCACAAGGGGACCTTGACCCGCGCCCTGATCGAGGGCGCCCAGCCCATTGGCTGGTAGGCCCCCGTCACCCCGTGCCATATAAACAGGGGTGGAGGCCGGGGCGGCACACGATACGAGGTTCGCTGCCGCCGCCAATTCCACTCACAAATTTTCCTTTAATGCATTCTATGCATTGTTCTAAATCTGAGAACTCCAATAGAGGAAGAATGTCATTCTTAACTAGTCATAATTCTCCCCCTCGAAATATGGCCTAAACGACAGTGCCATAATTTCGATGAGACATCAGGAGTTCTCTTTCTTTTCTTGTTTCCTTTTGTCAATGAGGACACAACATTAACATTCTCAGCAAAAGATAACAAATAAAGCTCATCTTGCAACACAGCAAGACCAATACATGCATTATTATACCATAGTTCACATTTGCCATTTCCAAAATGGCAATCATATCCATCAAAATCCTATTTCGATACACTTATTAAATTACATAAAAAACATCTCGAAGTAAAAGTGTGAAGCCAATCGGGAGCTCTAGGCAAAGACTCCAACAGCTTCTACTTTTGCTTCAACTCCATTGGCAACTCTAATGGATCTTTTGTTTCTTTGCGTAGTCCTCGTCGAACGGAATCCCTTTAAACAATTACACGCATGAATAGTTACTCCAGAATCAATCCACCATGTGGATCTAAAATAACCAACATAATGAGATTCATTTACAAATGTAATAATGTTCTCACCTTTCTTTGCCATGATCATTTTCAGGAAGTCAGGACAATCTTTCTTGTAATGTCATGTCTTCTTGCAGTGGAGACACTGATCCTTTTCAACAGTGAAATGTTGTTGCTGAGGCAGATGCTGAGGCTATTTCCCTTTTGAGGGGATGGTTTGTGGCTCTTTTTCTTGTTATCTTTAACATAGTTAATAGAGCCACCATTGGACTCTTTGATTCTTTCCTCCTCTTGCACACAATTAGCGATGAGCTTTTCAAAATTCCATTTCTCTAGACTTATGTTGAAGTTGACAATAAAGTTGTCAAAATGCTTTGGCAATGAGGCCATAACCAGATGGACCAGAAAGTCATCTGTGATACCCAAATCCATTGGCTTCAACTTGGAAGCCATGTTGCTCATCCTAAGAATGTGGTCTCTTACACCACCCCCATGGTACCTCTCTGTCACAAGCTGCTTTATCAGCTGTGTCGCATAAGTCTTTGAAGAACCAGTAAACTGGCTCTTTATTCTTTCGAGGTACTCAGAGACGGTGTCACACTCTGGGATTGAGCCCAATTCTTTGTTGTGTTGCAAGATGAGCTTTATTTGTTATCTCTTTCTGAGAATGTGAATGTTGTGTCCTCGTTGACAAAAGAAAACAAGAAAAGAAAGAGAACTCCTGATGTCTCATCGAAATTATGGCACTATCGTTTAGGCCATATTTCGAGGGGGAGAATTGAGAGACTAGTTAAGAGTGATATTCTTCCTCCATTGGAGTTCTCAGATTTAGAACAATGCATAGAATGCATTAAAGGAAAATTTGTAAAGAGCATCAAAAAGGGTGCAAAACGAAGCGCGGGAATTTTGGAGATCATTCATACAGATATTTGTGGTCCATTTCCTGTGAAAAGTGTGGATGGCTATGACTCGTTCATAACATTCACAGACGATTACTCCCATTATGGTTATATTTATCCAATTAAAGAAAGATCAGAAGCATTGGATAAATTTAAGATATTCAAAGCTGAAGTTGAAAATCAGCATGATATAAAGTTTAAAATAGTAAGATCTAACCATGGGGGGAGTACTATGGTCGGCATACGCCTTATGGGCAAGTCCCTGGACCTTTTGCAAGGTTCTTGCTAGAGAATGGAATAGTAGCCCACTATTCAACACCGGGCGAACCTAAACAGAATGGGGTAGCTGAAAGGCGTAACCGTACCCTTATGGATATGGTGCGCAGCATGATGAGCTACTCCACCCTACCATTGGGTTTATGGATGGAGGCGTTAAAAACCGCCATTCATATCCTCAACAGAGTTTCAAGCAAATCGGTGCCCAAAACACCGTATGAGCTATGGACAGGAAGAGTACTAAAGTTATACCGCGATAACAAACCTACAGTAATGTACGCTCACAACAATCAGTCAAGTGGTGCTGCCAAACACATTGACATAAAGTACTATGTTGTGAAGAACAAAGTCCGGGATCAAACAATCAGTCTCGAGCACATTAGAACAGAAAGGATGCTCGCGGATCCGCTCACGAAAGACCTACCACCCAATGTGTTCAAGGAACATGTAGCCGGCATGGGTTTAAGGGAAGCCTTATGAATCCTGGACTACAGGGCCCAAAAGTTAAAGTATAATAGAGATGTGTATAGTGGCTGTCGAATCCATCGGCGATTAACCGTGACGATGAAACATGCTCTATGTGCAAATCTGTGATGGAATAGAAAAAGGCTAAAAGAAATAGTGAGATCAAGGGGGAGAATGTTAGATAGATCTCCCTCCCCTTGAGCCCAACGGCACAAAGGGACCTTGACCCGTGCCCTGATCGGGGGGCGCCCAGCCCATTGGCTGGTGGGCCCCTGTCACCCTGCGCCATATAAACAGGGGTGGAGGCCGAGGGGGCACACGATACGAGGTTCACTGCCACCGCCAACTCCACCCACAAAACCCTAACTGATCGAGGGGGCGCAGCCAGTGACGGGAAGCATCACGCCGCGCCACGCCTCGTCGTCCTCGCCTACGACCGCCGCCGTCATGACCATCGTCGCCGCCGTCCACGTCAAGCGCGACAACAACGACGATGGCCGGCGCCTCTTCCTCCTCCTCAACGTCAACCAGTCGTATCCCTAAACCCTCTCACTTCCCTCTCTGTTGTTTCATCCATATTTGTTCATCCACCCAAGAGCTCTACCCGACTAGATCTAAGGCTAGACGATCCTATAGAAAACCCTAACAGTGGATGGATGTACTCACACTCTTTGTCCAGGTCAAAGAAGGCTATGTTGTAGGCACAAAATCGAGTAGGAATTGAGCAAAACTGCTTGGGGTTATATTCGGTGATCTCTCGGTGTCGAACCATGTTTAGAACTTGAACCACCTTCTCATCCCATGTGAGCTCTGGTTCACTGTCCAGCTCCCAATTCTCCTCCTCCTCCTTCAGAGCAGCCATATCACTTTGATTGGCATCATCCTTAGCACACGGTTCATCAGAATCATCCCCATTCTTGTCAATGCCAAATATACTAGCGTGTTCTCCGGCCTGGCAGCCAGCCATAGCTGCAAAACAAGCAAAGTTTTGGTTTTGATGTTTCCCATCCAACAAACAAAAAAAAAATACTGCCTCCGTCTCATATTATAAGACTTTCTAGCATTACCCATATTCATATAGATATTAATGAATCTAAACACATACATATATTTAGATTCATTAACATATATATGAATGAATGAATACAATGCTAGAAAGTCTTATAATATAAAACGGAGGAAGTACCAATTAAGAGGGATATACTGACTGATGCAAACGAGTGAACAAAGCAGAACAGATGTACATGAATGATGAATGATCGATCGATTAGTTGTGGATTATATATACACTCACATGAGTAATCTTTCTCCGAGTCTATGAGGCTGCAATCACGCTCGGCAGGAATATCAAGAACTGTCAACGCCGCCTTCTCTTCCCATGTGATCTCCCGCTTACGCTTGCCTGCAACAATTGCAAGATTCAGTCCGCCGCCGCCGACGTCGTCGATTACCATACCGCCCCTCTCGCTTTCGTCCGCCATCTTGACGCTCATGCAGAAGAAGAACACGGAAAGAAAGGGACACAGGTGAGATTAGGTGCCCATACAATGCGATTTCGTCGAATCGGAAGAGAGAATCGAGGCGATCGAGGAGTGTACCGTAGACGTGTTCGCTGGCAGCCCTGATCGCCCCGTCGCCGCCGGAGGGGAGAGAGCCTTAGGGTTTTCTCTTTCTGTTTCCCCGATTATGAAGAGGCTAGGGTTTGTTTGGTGAGGACGAACGGCTTGTTTGGCAACTTGAGGGAAGGGAATTGGGAGTTTACACCAAGGAATTAATGGTGAGATTAAGATGGGAATTTGATTTTTCATCCCAGTCTCTTGTTTGGTAGAGGTGGTGGAAATTGATAGGGAGTTTAGTTGGTGATTAGATCATTAATGAAAATGGATGGCTGAGATTTGTTTAGACGAAGTAAAGGAGGAATTCCCTCCTAATTACCTGCCCCTACCCAGGTATTGAAAAGGAGGGAATTCATTCCTCAATTCCCCATCCCCATCCCCATCCCACCAAAATTCCCATGTCCCCCAACCAAACAAAACAGTTAATAGACTCATCCCTCTAAACTCCTAATCCCTCCTAAAAACTCTCTCCAACCAAACAGACCGGAAGAGTAGGTTACCTGATGGGCCTTTTTCTTTGGAAAAGACTTAACCTGATGGGCCTATATAAAGAAAACCCCTTTCACCGCAGCGGCGGCGATCGATCGACTTCTCGGTTGCGGCGTGCTAGGGTTCGAGGAGATCGCACTCGCACCACGTACGGTACGCTCGCCTCCTCGATCGATCCCCTCTTCCTCTTGGTATGCGATGCATAAAAGAACAAATCTAAATATTGCAATTTTTGCTTCTCTTCTGAATTTATAGCTGTGGCGATGACAGCATTGGCAAGATGGGTGAACTAACCAAGAAGGTCACCATGGAGAAGGAGGAGGAGCATGGAGGTGGTATGGCTGCTGGGAAGGAGGAGAAGCAGCAGCCAACTCTGAAAAAGCAGCAGCAGGTGGGAAAGGTGAAGAAGAAGTTCCTGGATTTTGGACAGGAGTTGACATGGGAGGAGAAGGTGGTGAGCGTTCTTGACATCGTTCGCCGCTATCAGTTAACTGAATACGACCCCAAGTTAAAAGAATTTACCCCTACCCGGGTCAGTTTCTGTTTCTGCAACATGGCATTCTTTGACCACGACAAAGAGTGTGAGTATCCTTTCACTTATTCTAAATTTCTAAATTTGCACGTATCATTTCATTCACTTGTCTAATTAGTTCTCGATCCGTTTATTCCTATGAATACATGTAAATTCAAGCAATATATACTTGTGAAAACTTCTTCCTCCCTATCTGTTGAGTCTCTAGATCGATGTCATGTGTAGTAATAATAATGTTCTTGTTTGATTTCTGTTTCTGGCCCTATTTTTGCAGCAAAAATTAGTCCTGGGTCTCCGATTCGCACTATCCCTTCCTCCAAGTTTGTGATGTTGGAAGGCTCTGTTAATGTCATTGCAATCAAGGTCACCGAGTCTGATTCAGGTTACCCCATCAGCATCTTTGGAACTGTGCTGGCGAGGGATAAGCAGGACTACAGATGTGTCTATTTGTTCAGGCGTGATAGGACCATCCCCAACTCAGCACCTCGCCGGTCTGTATCCGATTCGTTCCTCTTCTCGAACACATTATATTCTTGACATCGTCTGAATTATAAGTGACATGCTTTTCATTAAATCGATGTACGTGCAGGAGGATACACTAACTCTTACAGGCCCAAAGAGAGGGCTTGCTACCAAAGGATCCATGTATTTTGAGTTCAATTTGAAGATTAAGGGGGATGGGGCTACTGACAAAGATTTCAGCAAAGGTTTCATAGAACATGATGCCGTCGCTTATGAAAAGCCACTCAAGACTTTAGAACTAGAAAGTTTCATGAGTAGAGTGGCGTTTATCTATACACCTGTTCCTTATGCTGTGCAAGCTACCCTTGCTGTCAATTTCTTGGAGGGGCTGTCAAATTTCACCGGTACAGTAAGTGCTTGGACTACTGGGAATGTTGAAAATGAGATCATCTTATATGACAGTAGAGTGGAAGGGACAGAGACAACTGTTAGGAATGATGGACGTGTTACATTAACTCGTAATATAGTAGCTGTCGTGTGTAAACACAAGCTGGTGCTCAAAGTTTGTGTGTTTGAGGGTGGCAGTGAAGTTGCATGTTTTAAGTTTGTTCTAGGGCATCGTAATGAAGAATGTACTCGGAAGAAAGGCCCTTATGTGCTGCAAGTGAAGGTTAGGTGGATTGGAATCATAGAACACTACAATCGGAAAATGTGGGAGCGTATTGGGAGATTTGGAAATATTTTATGGTGATAGTATGTGAAACTCTGGGTGAATTATATGTGGCGCATACATCTCTAGCGAAGTATCTTTGTTATAGGCTGTAAAATGGGGCATGTTTTCCCGAATTTCCACGAAACTTGTTTGTTTATTGCTTAATGTGTTGGCAGTCCTGTGTGTAATGAACATGGATCGATCTAGTGTTCGTACACTGAAATATATATTATTGGTGTTAACTTTTGTGCCGTTGAAATTGTACTCCACTTGGTAATTTCTGTTTGCCTGTAAGCTCATATCTGGCTATTCTTTTTCCTGCCATTGCAATATGCAACACAAGGGTGTAAGGCTGTGTTGTAATGTAGAAGATTGAAAGTTTAGAGGCTGTTGTAACAAGTATTGCATCACTGTATTAATTGTTTGTAAGAGAAACATTCAAACCCAACACATGTACCTACTACATCAAATACATTGATAACTGGCATTACCACATCAGCATGTTTGCTTTTGCGATTACCCTGTGCAGAGATGGTTGTATGTTGCTTGGCAACATTATCGACCACAACGTGTTTTTTCGGCAATTGTTTGCTTGGAAGGACGCATCCAATTTAGACAAAAAACCAGGAATAAGCGGGTGTTCCTCATCATCGTCTTCGGTTTAAAGGCCAGCGACATTTTTAGACAAAACCAGGAATTTCATAATTAATATATCCTACATCATCCAATTTCTGACATGTGAAAAATCTATAATAGAAGTGTAACAAATGGAGCAAAACACATGCATATGCTCCTGCTTGCTATTGCAGCACAAAGTGCATAAACATTACAGCACTTTGTACTGAAAACAGTTGGGTCGAAAAGGTTTATTAACCTTGAAAGTATAATATAACCTATCAGGGTTCATTCCAGTAACAGAAAATGCCGCCATCACTCTATCAACGATTTTCAGTATTACTTGATGTATGTGCGGAGACCGGAGATAAGAGACGGCCTTGCCCGAAAAGAATCACAAATTGCATATCCAGGTAGAACTGTAAAGGAAGGTGAAAATAATAAGAATGATAGTTGGTGTCATAAGATCAGAAGAAGAAAAAGAGGAGCTCACCTGCTGAAAGTCCAAGGGGACCCATAGCCCTTGGTCCCTCTTCAATCTCTTCCCAAAATCTCTGGTCCTCTGACAGACACAGTATGACTGTTTCTGTAAACCGCATCAGTAGGAATGTAGCAAACCTTTCCCCTACTAACAAATTAACATATATGCCACAGTGCTCGCATGACGTTTAACTTTGCATATAATTCCTGCAATAATATAGATGAGATGCTGCAAAAGGTAATGTAATAGCATAAGCAATAACAAGGAAAATTGTAAGCTGGATGCAACTCCTTTTAACATATAAACATGAAAGAAGGGAGTTATAGACCACAGATTCACAAAAATAGTTTGGTTTACCCATTGTAGGACAATCCATCCACAAAACAATATGCATTTTACAGTCGTTGGATAGTATTTTTCAGAATTTGAAGACATTAAACTTTTGTTGGTTTTTTTTCACCGGGCCGGCAAAGATGCCGGCCGAAGTATATTAAGATAGAGCAAAGAATGTACATTATTTGTTACAAGCAGGACCACATCCCTAAGAGAGGCAGAAAAAGCCGTCGCTCAAAGGAGATGGGGAGCAAACACACAAAAAACCTCTCCCAACAGAGCTACAACAAGCCTTCTCACGGAGGAGGGATCAAACCCGCCGCCAGCCACATTTCCCATTCATCCTTGATCGTCGCGAATAGGCAGGCCGGTGACGAGGCTCGGCCATCGAACACGCGAGCGTTCCGTTCCTTCCAGATCAGCCAAGTCACCAAAATCACGCCCGCGTCAAAGGTTTTCCTCTCCTTCTTGGTAACCACCTTGCGCGCGGCACACCACCAAGTGGGCAAGTCATCATCTGGCACTGCATGAAGGAGGCCAATCCTGCCCCTAACTAGCCCCCAAACTTCATGGGAGAAGGCGCAGTTAAGGAAGATGTGGGTGCAAGATTCGATATCTTTGGAGCAAAGATGGCAGATTGGAGCCAGATGCCATCCACGCCGTTGCAAATTATCAGCCGTAAGGCAGGCATTCTTCATGGCGCAGAACATAAAGAATTTGCAGCATTCCGGTGCGCGTGACTTCCAAATAATCTTGCCCAGCAAACATCGAGTACGACCAGCGGATAGCAACGAGTAGGCTGACTTGACGGAGAAGGTTCCGTTCTTCGCCGGCCACCAGACCGCCGCGTCAGCCACCGCGGGCTCAAGCTGTATCGAGGAAAGTAGGTCCCAGAGGGCAAAGAAATCCAGGTAAGCCTGAATGGATAGCCCGCCCCTGATTTTGGTTTTTTAAATTTACAACTACAAATTCCTTCTGGTTAAAGCACAACTCAAGCAGAACTTTATTTCTTCCCAGATAAAATAGCATATCTGAACATTTACGACAATCCAAATTTCCTCCTGTGAAAATCCAATAATAGTTTATTACTACCAGATTACTATACACCCTCATGCTGTTTTGGCATGCTTCCTTTTATTTATTTTCATCAAAATATAGTCTTAAAAGAATATCTGACATGTGGTTCAAAATATCCTACAAAATAAGATTTGTGTACGATTTAGTTCAGAACTAAACCAACCCCAAATAAACAATAAAAGTATAAAATAATCCCAACCAAATCTTCGATAACCAAAATAACATCTCCATGCATTCATAAAGAGAACTTCTGGTGCTACGGTACTTGTTAAATTTTTCAGGAAATAATAATCATATAGATCAGAGAGCACATGATGCAAAGACATATGCAAACTAAGCAAACCACACAAATAATTACATAGGAACACTTACTGTGGTAGACCACAAGGGTATATCCTGAGCAACCACAATTGATGAATATATGTCAAGCATGTATTCATTACTAAAAGCTCCCAAGTTCACAAAACAATAGCTTTTGCCACATGTTGTAAAATGGACTGATCACCTAAGTACATTAGTCCTAGCAGGCAGTTGATCACAGCCCATTCCTAAATGGGCTGGAAACTGCTGCTTAAGCTTTAAAAGCAAACAAAGGCATGCAGCTGCACATAAATCCCACCTACAACCAGATGCCTAAGTGTTAATATCAAGTAGAACTGTACAAGTAGACCTAAGCTATCCTTCTCTACATATCTTTGTAAGGGCCTTCCAGTTTCTTGGAGAAACTAATATATAGAGCTTGGGACAGATCAATAGTAATAATAGGAATGTGATCCAATGATCATGAGTTGCTTAATGATAATCTACCAGGTGTTTTATTCTTCTTCAATTCATTTGCATGCTCAATGAAATTGCCCTGCAGCTAAGATTTCATTAATCTTTGATGGAAGCATCAATGTTCAAACAAACTATAAAGGATAAGAACTTAGAGCTGACCGGCACAAAAAGAAAAAGCATTAATTGCTTCCGGTGATTCGAATTAACAAGTTGCTAAAATTGGAATCATGGGGGCTTTCCCCTCGCAAATGCCTTACATTAAAGGATGCAACATCACAACATATAAAATCTCAAAATAGAGGATTGGCTTGCCCAGACATCATAGTATACGCGCGTTACAATTGCTGCAATCACACAGTAATATTTCTTCTACAATTGATGCATTTTGCATTTGTGCTTAGAAACATCTTGGCAAGCTGAATCACTGCAGCTAGGAGCACATTGACAAATATTAGCTGGCTGAATTCAAAGGGATGAGGGCGCAGAGACTGGAGATAGAACCTGCAATGTGTGGTGGTGGAGCTCTCACTCACACTCTCACGTCCGCGCCGTCGAGTGCCAGACTGCCAGCTAGCCGGCTTCACCGTTGATCCATGGAGACCACAAGAACCATATGCATGCGTGTTCTTGTCCGCAGAAGCTGGAGTCCTAGGTTCAAACTGATCCAAACTATGGAGGAAATTAAGAAACAAGAAATTAGCGAAATATCCTGGAAATTTGAATCGAAATATTTGGAAAAAAAAAGGGAAAAATTGGGCAAAACTGCATGGTGGAGCACCTGACCACCACACCACTGCTCGCGTCGCGTCGCTGAGGACGCCGCCGCCGCCGCCTTCGCGCGTCGCCGCCCGCGCGCATGCCATTTACACCACCGGGAGGATGGGGAGGCTGCTGTTCCAAGATTAGCTTCCCCCGCAAGCTAGTGGAGCTAGCTAGCTACAACCAAGCAAGCCTCGGAGGACGAGGCGGAGGCGAAGGCGCGCGGCGGCCCCAGCCCCGGCGGCGGCGGCGGCGAGGTGGGTGGGTGGGTGGGTGGGTGCGGCCACGACGAGGGTTTGGGAATTTGGATGGGTGGGGGAGGCATGGCATGATGTGCTAGCTGGACTCTCTCTCTCCCTCTCTCTCTCTCTCTCGCCAATAAGACAAAACAACCCATGAAAAAAAAAAGAAAAGCAAGCAATGCAAAAAAGAAGAAGAAGAAGGCAGCCGTGGTGGCCGTGAGCCCATGCCTCTCCTCGGCTCCTCCCCGACGCCGCCGCCGCCTCTTCCCCACCGCGCGTGAGGAAGACGACCACCTCACCGTCCATCCACTCACACCAAAGCACTTGTACTCCCATTTCTCAACCGCTTCTTCTTCTTCTTCTTCTTCTTCTTCTTCTTCTTCTTCTTCTTCTTCTTCTTCTTCTTCTTCTTCTTCTAAAACCCTCTTAAACCCTCTCCATAGCATATCGCTTTACATCAATGGCGCCCAAGAGGAGGAAAGAGGCATCCACCTCCACCACTATCTCTCCCCCTCTACCCGTACGTTCTTCTTCCTCTCAATAAATTTCTCAACCGATCGATCGCAATTTCTCGGATTTTTTTTTTACTTGTAAAGTAATCGATCGGTGTGTATCTCTTATCTCATCATCTTTTTCTTGCATTGAACAGCCCGGCCATTCATCAATCTTCTACCTGGAGTTAAGCAATCTCGCCACAAGCTATGGACAGCTGATGTCCGCGATTTCATCTGAGGCTGAGGTTATCATAACTCTGGAATCGCCCTCCAACAGCAAAGGGGTAAAGCAGTTTTGCAAGATATCCGACAAGCTGTACACTCCGAGCGGTGGAACATTCCTAGTGCAGATCACACCAGATAACTCAAGTCCTTTGGAAGATCGGCTCACTCTGCTATTCAGATGGAAAGACCTATATTTCGAAGCATTTCATAGCAAAGGTATACAAGAGTTACTTATACCATTAATTAGTTTGCTTCCATATGCATGCATTCAAGTTGATCTTACTAAGAGGCTTGAAATTTTTACTCTGTATGCTCAAGAATTAATCGATTGGTCATCATCAACTGTGTTGTAAAATTATCTCGCCCTCATACATATATGTACATGTTTTTTTTCGTGAACGTGCAAAACGTCATTCTATTTAGACGAAAGTAAGTCTGTAAACATGTTCTTGCTCACATTCGATTTTAGAGTGCTAATTATATCACATTCCCTTGATCTCTTTTTCTGAACAATCAGGGAAATGGTACAGGATGGGGGATGCTGAGGAGACTCTCCCTCCAAGATCCCAGCTGAATTATCCCATGAAGGAGCATCAGGGAATTGTGAAGATCCCGTTTGAAACCACATATGAGAGTGTTCTTGGGAAGAAGTCGTTTCAATGTGCCCCGATGGGTCCGGGTAGTTTCCACCGCTGCTACAAGACTCTGATGACATCCGGAGAGGTTCATAAAGATTCATTGAAGCAACTTCTGGGACATGGTTTCCCACTCGCTTTACCTGTGATGGGTATCTCTGAGCCCCTAAGGTTTCCCCTTTACCAGGAGTGGCTTCAGAATGTGTTGATCTTAGCTGGTGCCTCTGATGGAGATCAGCTTGATCGCGATCCATTGGACAACATGTTCGATAAGGTAGTTCCAGCCGAGCACTCCGACAAGTTCAACGCGTGGGGGACAATTTCTGATTGCATGTATGAGAAAAGGGTGACACTCCGGTGCAATATACTTGAAGTATTCTACTCCGAGTAGAATTAATCTGGACCCTTTATTTTAAAGGGCAGGTAAGTAATCTTCTAATATCCTTTAGGGGTAATTTTGGTATGGGATGTTTTATTCTGGTCGCATTGGTTCGCATCTTCGGTTCGCATCGCAGGTGTGGATACCGTCCCCCAATTCCTCCCCCGACCTCGCCGCCTTGCCCGCCTCCGTCGCCGTCCGTATCGCTCGTCGGCAGCCGCCTTCTCCGCCTCCTCAGTCGCCGTCCGTCTCCTCCGCCCGCGTCGCCTTCTCCAGCCCCCTCCGTCGCCGTCCGCCTCCCCCGCCCTCGCCGCCTCCTTCAACGCCATTGTCGGCCTCCCGTTCACCTCCATCGTCGCCTCCGTCGCCCGTCCATCTCCCTCGCCACGTTCATCGCCTCTAGTGCCCTCGCGGCCCTATGCCCCATCCACCTTCTCTACCTCCAGCGACCTGTGGCGGCTGCGGCGTACGTGCTCGGCGCCTCGGCAAGGAAGAATCCCCGTCGGACGGTCGATTTTTAATAAAACAAATATTTCCGGTCGATCGCTCGTATAATATAGCGGAACGGATTAATTCGGACAAAATAACTATTACGTCCGGGACGGTCGATTTTTAATAAAACAAATATTTCCGGTCGATCGCTCGTATAATATAGCGGAACGGATTAATTCGGACAAAATAACTATTACGTCCGGGACGGTCGACTTTTAATAAAAACAAATATTTCCGGTCGATCGCTCGTATAATATAGCGGAACGGATTAATTCGGATAAAATAACTATTACGTCCGGGACGGTCGATATTTTAGAAAACAAATATTTATGAGTTCCTACAACAACGGGATTAAAATCTTGTCGGAACTTATCGAACTTCCTGCGTTGTATTAACGCTCTCCTATTATTCCGTTTTGAACACACGAGGTTTTTAAAACTAACAGTACCGATATCCGAAAACATGGTTTTCACGTACTTACTCGGCCGAGTCGATTTGTAAGAAAACAATCTCCAGTCGATAGCTCATATATTATAGCAGAACGTATTATTTTTGACATACAAAATTAAGTCGCCGACCGGGTCGTTTTATGAAAAGAATGGATTTCCGGTCGATCGCTCATAAAATATAGCGGAACGGATTAAGTCGCACCGTGGGGACCGGGTTGCTTTTTTAAAAACATGGATTTCTGGTCGATAGCTTGTATATTATAGCAGCACGGATTAATTTTGGACAAATAAAAAATTAAATCGCACCGTCCGGACCGGGTCGCTTTTTTTAAAAACATGGATTTCCGGTCGATAGCTAGTATATTATAGCGCAACGGATTATTTTTCACAACTATAAAAAATTGTCGGAACTTATCCTGTGTTATATTAACGATATCTTTTTATTCTGTTTTAAACTCACGAGGTTTTTAAAACTAATACTACCGAACTCGGCTGAGATTAGGTAGTAGAAGTATAACAGAATTTCCGTACTCTAACTGAATTTTTTTCATGCATAATTATCTGTTTTTTTTCCTGCAGAATTTTGCTCATATGTTTTTCTGCCGAATTATCTGTTCTTTTTTAAACCGAATTATCTGTTATTTTTCCCTGCCGAAATTTATGTTTCTCGTAGCCGCGGATTTACAATAGCTAATAACTGTGTATCATATTGATCTTCTATTTTTTTCGTAACAAGCTATATATATATATATATATATATATATATATATATATATATATATATATGTCGATATATGATACAGTTCTCGGTTTCTTTACAACATGAGGCCAAATTACGAGCCCCCCATGAGGAGCAAACAAAAACAATCTGCTCCCGCGATGACGGGCACAAACCAACAGAAGAAAGAACGGGTATGTCTTTTTAAATGAAATTTTCACTCTCAGCTCTTGTATACATCACTACTGGAAATCATACACTCCTTAAGCAAAAAATACATCCGATCTGAGGTGCTATGATAAGTATAGCAGATATGACTAGATTATTTAGGAAGATAGTCTCTTTCCTGATGAAACTGCGTGCCTCTTTTGAGCTCTGGCTAGTCTCTGTATCAAATGTTTAGAGGACATAGCAGCCTCACAGAGAAAACACCATGGCAAGATGTCCCAAGAAATATGGGCCTGCTACATGGGATAATACAGGCAACAGTTTAAAGGGGTCAGGTTTAACTCATACTGCAGCACCATACACTTTTGTTACCCAACATATAGCTGATTTTCCCACCTAATAGAGCGTATATAGAATCAATTTTTTAGTGAATTAAACAAATGCTAAAGCTCCCATAACAGAACTTGGCAGCAAGTTGAAATGCTAAAGCTCCCCCTGGTACATGTACAAGCTCCAACTTTGAGAGATCTGGATCCTTGGATTCAGCTACCATTCTTTGTATTGTTCCACACATACATACTAGAGGGAACTGCAAAAACAGGACAGAAGTATACTATGATTATACCCATTTTGCAACTGTACTTTAGTATATAAAATCTTTTATTAATCTTGCAGAGATAAATATGAAATACATTTTCATTGCTAATACCTTCCAATGAAAGCTCCTTCCACAGACACAAGAAAAGAAAACACCATATGAAAGCTCAAAAAGCATTTACAACCTTAACCCTGATTTTCCCGTGAACCAATTACTGCTTTGTCTCCAATTACGCACTCTTATATTGACTAACACCTTCATCCTATATGTTCAGAAATCCCTGCCGAGCCAAACCCCCACCCCACCCCCACGCCCACCCCCACTAAGAAAGATATAGTACAAAAAAATATATGCTTGCATAATTATCACATCAGTAAGGATATAGTACATTATGATTTATATGACCCCAAATGGTAATAAGGTGTTCACTTCAATCACATTGGTTCTCATGTTAAGAAAATTAATATGGATTAGTACCTTATGATGTGCAATACAGTGCACCATTAGGATTCATGGCTGCTGTATATATGAGCATTTGCATAAATTTTCACAAGGACTAAACCTTATTATCTTTTCTGTTAATCAGGGAACTCTAGTTTGCTCTCCATATGCCATGTATGAGGTAATACTCCATCTAAGTCCACGTCAAAAGGAAGCTATCGAGGGTTCAGGTCTTGGCAACTTGCTAAAGATTGACAACATACATATTGACCGAAACTTGTACAATGAGATTGCAAGAAGCTACGACAAGGAGAAGAAAGCATTCAATATTAATGGTACCTTCGTAACGATGACACTCGATGATGTTGATTGTTTGCTTGGACTGCCATCAAAAGGAGATGACATATTTGAGGCACCAAAAATCAATAAACCAGAATTGTTCAACC